AGCCCAGTAATTTGTAGAAAGAGGCATACATTAGGGTAGAAAGTGCACTAGAAAGCATATACAGTACTAGGGAAAATAACCTACAGAAGTATATTCAGTTAGGGGGAAATGTTTTGCAAAAATGTGTATATTTGGAGAAATTCACACTAAAATGCTGATGGGGTTTTCGTGGCCTTTTTTATATAAAAAAAATGCAGACATGTTGAAATGTGGATAACTGAGCTTCAGAATGGGGTTAGGGGAGGGGGAGCACAGAGAGAAAACAGAACTGTCAGATTTGCCCTGCAGGCGTGTGCTCTGTTGTTAGCAAGCCTCCTGGGCCACATACACAGAGGAGAGCTGCTTAGAGCACAGAAGGCAAGCCCAAGAGACATTGTGAGACCTTCTGCAGGGTGGTCAAAGGAAGCCCCTTCCTCAGCAACCCAGGCAGCATCAAGGCCAGTTATTCCACCAATGAAGGGGTCTATCTGTGTTTTGGTCTGTAAATATTTCTGTGTAGAACAAACCTGTAAGCTCAGTGATTGTATAAATATATATTACATGTTGAATTTGAGTTGTCACAGATCATCTTTATCTGCGGAGCACCTGTGCCATTAATTTGCCTAAGCCTCAAATAGAAACATTTCTAAAGATGGATTACGCTGTATAGATTTCCATGCTTTTTCACTTCGCTTCGCTTTCAGTTCCTATGTCAGTTTCCCATCTCATTCAAATATCTTTTGTGTTTCCTAAAAAGCTGTCTAATATCATAGCATATATTATGGAGACTGCCGCTTTTGTGTCATGGCTAGGCCTATTACATAGCAAGTCAAAAGGTGTCAATGGTCTCAAGCCCTCACCCCTTCATTCCAGATACTTTGCAAAAGTGCATAGTTGGAACCAGTTGGAACCAGGACTATTTTATGCCTTTCAGCTTTGGCACCGTGGCTAGATCTAAACCGCTATAAAAGACTCTCTGAAAATGCTCTGCAAAAAAACAGTTGTAAAGTTACAATTGAAAATATAATTGAGTTGCGATTTCAGCCCTACAACGCCATCTGGTGTCACAGTGTCATAAGGGATTTATATTGCTGTATTTTGACTAATGTAGCTGAGTCCCAGGTCCTCTATTAAAATTGCTTTTCCTTTTACAAACACACCTCTAATTCTATAGAAAACATTTGTTTCAAGACCTACAAATTGGTTAAATTTGTGTGTTTAAATAAGGGCTGATCTAGCAGAGGCAGCAGTGGTGATGGAGCCAATACTGAGTTCCAAGACCACCAATGCCACCAATGATACTTTTAGAAATGGGTTGCCTGCATTTTCTCGTTCCATGTGAGACAGCTCGCCTCTAGGAAATTTCCCTTAAAATTATCTTTTGGTGACATGGGACCACCACATGCCTTGCAAAGATAAATTCTTTAAGCTCACCATTATGTTGGGAAGACTCTGGAGAATGAGGTTCCTATTTTCGTGTTTGGTGGAGTGTACCTTGGTCCACACATTTTGCAAAAAAGTTTTTTATCTGACCTCCAAAATCACAAAGCAGTCTAGCCCTCCTAATTTGGCACTTGCCTTATCATCACTAGACTTGACCCCCAATTCTACTCTTAAAGCTAAATAATTAATTTCCTTTCTGTTCATAGCAACTAGACAAGTTGTTGCCCAACGACAGAAGGAAACCTCCAATATACCCATAGAAGCTTTGGTTATTAACATCTGGAGCACTGCTCTAACAAAACATCTCAAAAACCATAGATGAGTAATCAAGAGCATCTCCAAAAAAAGATACCTTTGACATGATCTGGCCTCCCTTTTTCTCTTTTATTGAAGAGGAACAGGATATTTTAATGCCAGCATCATCACAGAGGTGTCTGTGGAGGGGATGTATTGATTGAAAATGTCTAGCCAACCAGATCAGAAGTTGGTTTCCTAGTGAGGATATTCAGCATATAAATGTTATTAATTTAATTAAAAGGTCAAAAAAGAATAGGAACATTTCTGTCTGTCTTCCATAGTGGGTGTCCCTTACGCCAGGGTGATCCAGGAGCCTGGATTCTTTTCTGGAAATTGTAATCAAACAGCGGGATTCTCTGGCCAGGCAAAGCCATAGCTATGGGTGAAGCCTCCAGAGGGGCACCATTGAGACTCCAGCCTCTGTGTGTGTGCCAAACTGGGTATTTCACCTGGGGGAAATAAGCCTAGTTTCACCCCTGGGCCACGTTTCCTATCTCATTGCTCACTGGATGGCTTTGATTCCCGCCATTCACACACACACACTCCACTTAATCATAATAATGTACCTCACAGGGCTGCCGCGAGGATCAAATGGGGTGGAGAACCTTGTGTAATACCCTGAACTCCTTGGAGGAAAAGTGGGACATGCATAAATAAATTTATCTGACTAGTGATGCAACAAGGCCCTGATCTCCATTCTGGCCCATGTCCATTCATGCAGCGCTGTTTCCATTCTGCCACACTTCTAACAAAAACTGTCCACTGAGGCAGAATTTTACACAATTCATTCCACTATTCCACACCATTGGTTTCGATGCAAAGGAAGTGTAATTCAAATGGGGTGGATGTGTCTCTATTTATGTATCACTTTTGGACTGAAAAACGAGCAATGAATGCTAATAATATTTGCTAGATTGATTTCCATCCTGTCTGGGAGACTCAGGAATCAAGAAGATAATGACTTTAAAAGAGAATGGGGAAAATTCATAACTTAGGAGACCATTGTAAACGAAACCATTGTAGCTGGACTTTAAAAATAACTTATAAAGAAACGAAATATATGGATAATTTAGAGAGATGAAAACTGTGGAGAACGTAATGATATGTAGTCTTAGGGAAATTATTTTAAGGACTCATGCAGGGAACGGGGGGAAGTCACGAGATTCATAGAATCTCATATATGGCTATGTTAAAAGTTTTTTCTTGCTTATTATTTTAAATTTGTTCTTGTAAAAACTAATAAAAATATTTTAAAAGAAAGAAAAAAGATTGATTTCCATCCTGGACATGAGACAAGTAAACATTGGGAATGTCTACTTCTATAGCTTGGTCTGTAGAGCCTGAGAGTCTTAATCTCATGGTTACGGGCTCAAGCCCCACACTGGGCAAAAAGATTCCTGCATTGCAGAGGGTTGGGCTAGATGACCCTCAAGATCCCTTCCAACTCTCCAATTCTATGATTCAATTATTCTCAGACATCTTTACCTCTGACTGGCAGTCAATCTCCAGGGTCTCAGGCAGAGAATCACCTGCAACCAGGAATTCCAGACTGAACCTGGGACCTTCTAGATGTAAGACAGGCCCCCTTTCTGGAAGCCAATGGGGTGATGTTATTATCCAGATGTGGTCATTGAGAACATGTATTTGCACAGACAGTGCTTCAGGTGTTTGAAGTGTATGCTCATGCTTTCATACACACTAGAAGAATCACAGCAACACCTAGTGACCATTCAAAGCTTTGCAAGTCGAAGTGCATTTAAAACCGCTGGCTGTTCCAGTCCAGGAAGTGATGGAAGGAAACACAGCCTAGTTTTAATAAACTGAAGCAGCACAGTTAATAATGGCTGCATATCTTGTGGGTTGCTTATAAGTTCATGTGTTATTTCTTTTCCTCATGCAAAGTGGGTGAAACTCTAAACACAAAACCTCTTTGCAATGGCGTCTCCTTGCATCTCCTTCCCCAACTGCACAGCAGAGAGCAGAAAGGTTCAGGCTGGCTAAGTGCTGCTTTCCCAGGGCATCCTAGGGAGAACATACTACTGAAGCTGACACCTGTAGCTAGAGATTGAATATTCTGCTCACCAGCTGGTGACAGGAGGGTTCAATCCTGCTCAGTTTGACTGTGTGTGTATGTCTCCCTTTAGGGAACAGTCACATGTAGCCAAAGTTCAGTGCAGGGCTGTTCAAAAGCCCTTCTACAAACAGCCCATTCCTCTTCTCACCTGACACCTTGTCTCCCAACAGCCCTGGATTGCTCTGCATAGGTCAACATGGGGCTCTCTCCACCAGACTCTGGTGAAGGCAGGATCCCGCCCCCTCCCCTGGAATCAGTGCAATTCAGTTCAGGATTCAGGCTTTGGCCAGACCTAGTGCACAGCCCTAGGAAGGCTGTTTGTACTTGAACTTGGGACATCCAGGTGAACGACTTGGGGCCAATCAAACATGCTCACCTTAACCTACCTAACATGTATACAAACTTCAGAGCCACCAGAGTTGTAGAAGGCAGAGATATATATGGGGGTGGGGGAGAGAATGATCATCTAAGGGGGCACCACAACTGGGTGCTGGCTGCCTGTCCCTATATCCAAATAGCCTGGATAGTCTTGGCAAGAGTCTCCCTGGGTTGAAAATGCTGCTGTTCATGGCCAAGTCAGCGAATGGCAGAACAGCAGCTACCCAGGACTTAGTCCTGGAGGAACATGCTGACCTGGCTTGTATAAGAGAGACCTGGCTTCATGAAGCAGAGCAGAGGCATTGATGTCTCTCTTAGCATTGCTCACCAGGGTTCTTTGTACAGCAGAAGCCAAGATCTGGAGGGGGGAAAGAGGTGGAGTTGCAATAGTCTATTGTGATTAGATCCCCCTGACCAGGTGTCCTCTGTCACAGCCTGCTGGGTTCAAGAGTGTATCTGAAGACGGGTGGCCAGGGCAGAATAGGAATCCTGTTGGGTGTAGCACCCACCCCACTGCTCAACAGTTTCCTTTCCTGAGCTAGCCAGGGTGGCCTGGGAGTTAGTGCTGGAGCCCCTCTGGCTTGTTATACTGGGGGTGGGCTTTAACATTCAATATGAAGCTCCCCTGTCATGAGTGGCTCAGGACTTCATGTCTGCCATGACAATCATGGGTCTTTCCCCAAGTAATCTCTGGCCCTGCTCATGGTACAGGGCAAACTCTGGACTAGGGTTTTGGTGACCTAATGAGTGGAGAAACTCTCTTTAGTTCCGTTGTCCTGTCAGATCTCACGGTGCTCCAAGGGCAGAGAAACAGACACAAACTACAGAGTTCTAGTATGTCAGTTCTTTATTCAAAGCACCTGTTCCTGACTCGACATATGTCTGGCAGAAACAACATTTTTTATTATTCCAAGACACACACACAAAGTCAGGTTTTTTTGTTTTTATAAAGGAACAAACAAGTCAAGAAACTTGAAAAACAGTTACAAGATTTAAAATGAAATCAGGGGGGGGGGGGAATCCAGTTTTAAAAGAGAAGTGTTTCTTATGAACTATCCATTTAAGTTTCCTCCCCCTTTAGGTGGGGTTGGGGAAGAGGGGTGGAAAGCTCTCTGTGTTTGTATTGGGAAGTAGTACAATAACTAAAAAAGCAGGTGATCACTATCTGTAACGTGCTCTATGAAGGTTGAGAGATTACTGGACCACCACCTTCAACAAGAATTCAGAACCAGGTTGAATTTCGGTTAGAACTAGTTTTGAGTCTTTCTAGAACGCACACAGCTAAAAGGAGGGAAGAGACTTGTTTGGTCGTAAATTAACAAAGGATGTGGGCAGTGAGCAGATCACGCTGCTCAGGACAGATGCCCCAAACCTGCTGCTCATGGCACTGGACCCGTTGTATTGGCTGAGTGGATCCCGGACAACAAGAACCACCAGGGGGAAATGCTCTAAGAACTCTGAAGTGCAGTACCATGGACAAAATCAGGACAAATAAATCTCGTACCCAGCTCCTGCAACTCTAGCAGGTGGTGCTTTCTGCTGCATATCTGGCTCCACGAGAGCAGGGGTGGGGACACAGAGACAATGCATGAATGTTAACATCAAAAGGTGGGGATGTTCTCCAGAGGGATCCGCTAGCAAAAATCTGGAGGATTATTGCTAGTTCCCAGGGGTTGGATAGATAGTTATGCCCATTAATTTCAACAAGTCTACTTTAAGTAGGACTAATGTTGAATATAACTCGTTTGTTTCGTATCGCAAGCAGAGAGTAACCATTTTGGAAGAGCCCCCACTGCCACCCTGAGAAGTCTGTTTTGTGTTTCCCCTCTTCTGCTACCACCCCAAGAGTTTCCCAGTGGCATATTTATTCTCGCCCTGCAGGCAGATGTCAAAATCAAGCAGATTCCAAACAGATGTGCATATCCATCCAGCCAGCCAGCAAGGGACAGGACCTGCAGCCAGATCATAAGACTCAGGAATGCAGGAGGGGCTTGACTGAAAGGCCTCCATCGAAAGCATTCCCATGCAAGGAAAGCGAAGACATCAGGGAGAAGGTGGAAAACTTCTCTCTGAATATTCAAGGGTGGTACAACCCAAAGATTTTAAAATATGAATCAAATATTATTATTTTTGAAGTCAAAGTCTGCATGAAGCAGTGCCCCCCTCCCTGAAACTGCTTTGCACACAATGGAGTCCAGTGCCCCACCCCCCAGAAAAAAATTCTGGGCCTTTCCTTTTTTGTTCGCTGTGTGCAATTTGATGGCAGGTGGAAAGTGGTCCTCCAATTGTTGCTAGACTACAAATGCCAGCATCCCTGAGCCACTGGGCGTGCAGGGTGGAGCGGATGAAGGCTGGGAATCCAACCAGCACCAGGAGAGCCAAAAGGCCCCCACTCTGCTCCCTTTCCAGTGCAACCAGAGAAAGCACAAAGACTGCAGCTGTGCCTCTGAAACCAAGCAACAGTAAATGGCTTGCAGCGTTCACAGCATAAAACCTCTCATTTCATACACTTAGCCCTGCTCTCCAAGAGGTGTATTTTAAAAAGATGATGAAGAAAAAGGTTGCTCCGTCAAGTCGTCAGGCAGTCATTGCTCTGCACTTTGTGACTGGACAGCACACACACAGGAGCACAGTGGATGCTCTCTTCCCACTCCACTCCAAAGAGACAGGCACTTGTCTCTCCAGCACACCCTCTGGGAAGCCATCTCTGGCCATCTCATGATCCCCAGCCCCTTAACTGCCAACATCAACTGCATGGGTCAGGGTAGCCTCCCCTATGGACCAGGATTTGGGGTTGTGATGTGCAGATGCACCTAACTCTGCACAAGTCAATCACTTGGGCCTCACAGCCTGCTCTCCGGGGGACACTGAATGGCTTTCTCAGAAGCCAACAGCAAGGTCAGGAGTTCCTCGCTCAAGAGGAATTGTTTGGAACCGAAAAAAACCAACACAGTGTTTTAAAACCGTACCAAAATGCTCAGTTGATACCCAGTACTCCAGAAGGAGAGATGATGAGGTGGTGAAGGAAAGAGGCTAGCAGTAAGATTCTTTTCCAAAGGCACATTGCAAGAGTCATCAGTCAAAGGCTACCAGCCATGCATTTGACTTGGTCAGACCAGTAGAGATGACAACAAAGAGCCAGCAAACCAGTGAGAACTCACACTGTGCTTGGCCCAGGATGGTGGCTGGGGGCAGGTGGGCGAGCTCTGCTTTGTAGTGGATGGGGGCTTCGTCTGCCGCAGCCACACACAAAGAAGCAAGCAGGGGGTGAGGGAAGAGAGGAAGATTTCCAAATTGGGGAGAAGGCAGGGGAATCTCTTTCTCTGGGTGGTGGGCTGGTGGCCATTTCCCCCACCTGTAGAACTTCAGTGCTGGGGTGGGAGGGAATTCTGGCATCTAGAATCTTCTTTGCATAGCATGTCTGACCAGGAGGATTCCATATTGTTCAGGTGTCGAGCCATGTCCCTCAGGGAAAATTTTTTAAGGAGGAATTAGAGGTTCCATGGACTCAGGATGCAGCCCGCCATCTGCATGCTGCAGTGAAATCAGTGTGAAGGCATGATCCAGCTTCCCAATGACATTTCAAGTAGGCAGCAAACCCGGGCCTCAAGAGAGGGGTGTCCAACAGCACCCTCTACTCCGAAAGAGATGGGTTGAGCAGCTTTAAGACACCGCCCACCAGGTGCAAGCTCCCCGTCACCAGGACCTGGATGGTGGCCGCTTCCTTGAGCAAGACAGCCCCGCTGCTGGCTGCGGGGTGAGGGTGGAGCCCCCGGGATGCTGGAGGCTGGAAGTGAGGGTCCCTGCCTTGGGTGATCCACTGCAAGGCCTTGGAAATGCAAGGGAAGACTAAGGAGTTGGCGTTGAGTGGGCGTGCTGAGGGTGGGAAGAAGAGCTGGGGGCCGTGCAGGGGGGCCTGCTTCAGCCACCCAGCCACCCCTTCCACTTCTGGCGAGGCAGACAGCCAGGGGTCCGTGCCCTCTTTCGCCTCCATCAGGCGGTTCCAGTGGCTCTGGTTCTGCAGGCAACGGGTCAGGACATTCTCCAGGGTGACATTGAAGTTCTGCTGATCTGTAAGGCCAAACACAACAACCATTTTGAAAAGAATAGAAAGAAGAGGAGGTGGAGCCACAGGGATGCCAGGGCCATTCACCTGCCCAGCCCCACACCAACGCGGCTTCGGGGCAGCCTCCCTTGGATGGTTGGCCAAAGTAGTACAGTAGTACCTTGGTTTACAGATGCTTCAGGGTTACATACGCTTCAAGTTACAGACTCCGCTAACCCAGAAATAGTACCTTGGGTTAAGAACTTTGCTTCAGGATGAGAACAGAAATTGTGCTCTGGCGGCACGGTGGCAGCAGGAGGCCCCATTAGCTAAAGTGGTGCTTCAGGTTAAGAACAGTTTCAGGTTAAGAACTGACCTCCAGAACGAATTAAGTTCTTAACCCGAGGTACCACTGTATAGTGATTAGAGTACTGGATTAGGACCTGGAAGAGACTAGAGTTCACATCCCTACTAGGCCGTGAAGCTCACTGTGTGCGACCTTGTGGGGCAGTCACTGCATCTCAGCCTCACCTACCTCACAGGGCTGTTGTTCAGATTGAAAGAGGGTAACCATGCAGGCCACTTGGGGCTGCTTGGAGAAAAAGGTGGGGTGCAATAAATAACTAAATAAATTCTCACGTCACCTTCCCTACCTGGGCCAGCACTGACTGGTGGGCGAAACCACTTGCCTGTCAATCACCTGACTTAGCAATGGGACCTGGCGACCTTTCACCTGCACAGGGCTCTTCAAGCACCAGTGGTCAGCTGCGCCTGCTTCCAGTAGGGAGCTACACCTCCACCTGTTCCTGAACTGGATGTCATATGATGTGAGGGTCTTTGACAGGTGGGCACGGCTTGGGTGAAATAGCCTTGGAAAGGCCAAACAAGGAGGCATGGTGGGCTTCATTGGCCCTGGAGATCCCACCCCCCAACAGAAACTGAGGTGAGCTCTTATTTATGGGGAAGGGCCATAGCTCAGTGGCACAGCATGTGCACCGCATGCCACAAGGTCTCAAGTTCAGCCAACCCTGGCATGGAAGGTTCAAGTAGCTGGTGTCTCTGTCCAAGACCCTGGAGAGCTGCTGCCAAACAGAGTATGGGCTAGACAGACAAATGGCCAGCTCCAAAGGCGTGTGTGTGTGTGTGTGTGTGTGTGTGTGTGTGTTTAGGGCAGCACAGATGGTCCCCCACCTAAATTTTATCTTCTCAGCAGCCAGCAAGTTAGGCTCAAAGATAGCAACTGGCCTAAAGAGCTTCGTGGCTGAGTAGGGTTTCGAACCCTGGTCTCAAAGCCTTTGGCATTTCTAGCCACTACAGCACACTCTGCACGGGCAAAGGTACAGCACTCCACAAGTTGCTCTGTGGCACCTGAAACCTTTCAGCGCAGCCCCATCTTTTACCTGCCCCACACCTGGATGTCACTGCCTGTCTAAGGCAGGTGGGTGTGGCCTGGCTGGCGCAATGCAGAGGGCTGAGGGGCAGTGTTTGGCCTACAGGCCGAAGGTCCACCACTGCCCTGCGGTTCAGTAAGGATAGGACCCACTGCTTAGCAACACCCCTGCAGAAAACAAGGTAACCCATTTCTCTCTCAGACAGGTCACTTTTCCCATCCTAGATTTCCTAGACAGACTGATTATATTTCTATAATCCCGAAGTGGCTTACAAACAATAAATAATAACAACATGCTAGAATGTAATAAAGGTACCCCTGCCCGTACGGGCCAGTCTTGACAGACTCTAGGTTGTGTGCCCATCTCACTCAAGAGGCCGGGGGCCAGCGCTGTCCGCAGACACTTCCGGGTCACGTGGCCAGCGTGACATCGCTGCTCTGGCGAGCCAGAGCCGCACACGGAAACGCCGTTTACCTTCCCACTAGTAAGCGGTCCCTATTTATCTACTTGCACCCGGGGGTGCTTTTGAACTGCTAGGTTGGCAGGCGCTGGGACCGAACAACGGGAGCGCACCCCGCCGCGGGGATTCGAACCGCCGACCTTTCGATCGGCAAGCCCTAGGCGCTGAGGCTTTTACCCACAGCGCCACCCGCGTCCCAGCTAGAATGTAATAGAACATCACAAATACAGTGTAAATCATATACCATAATAAACAAGCCATCGGCAAAACAATTACAATCTATAAAACACTGTTAACAAAGCAACAACTAAAAAATAAGTAAATTAAAGCAAAAGTCATATTGTATGATTCCCAAATCAATACAGCATTAAAACCCTGCACGCTTAAGCTAATGAAAACCAATGAGGGGCATTTGCAGTTATTTAAATAGGAGTGGGAGAGAGATTATAATTATAGCCAGAATTCAGAGCAAAGAAGGTCTACCTTTGGCCCTCCAGATGTCGCTGGAGTACAACTCCCATCAGCTCCTGGCCAGGGGTGATAGGAGCTGCAGCTCAACATCTAGAATCATATGGTTGGAAGGGATCCAAGGGTCATCTAGTCCAACCCCCTGCAATGCTGCAGGGACCAAAGGTCTCCACAACTGATCTAGCCCAACTCCATGTGGCCATATTTCATTAGCGATTTACCAACCCTGCCCTGTGACCGACCTGCATTTCCCACGGTGGACACTTCGGTGAAATTGGGGCAGAAAACGGCATAGTCAAACTGGCAAGGCTGAAAATGTAAGAGGAATAAAGATTATAAAAGCAGCCACTGCACTGATTCACACCTGTGAGGGAGAAAGCAAAAGTTGAGTCTGGCTTGGACTGTACCACAGCATGTCTTATGTCTCAGTGAACCCCAGTATATATAGTGGTGCCTCGCAAGATGAAATTAATTCGTTCCGCAAGTTTTTTCTTCTTGCGAGTTTTTCGTCTTGCGAAGCACAGTTTCCCATAGGAATGCATTGAAAATCAATTAATGCATTCCTATGGAAACCGCTTGCCAGGCTGGCGGTGCGGAGAAGGGCTTTTCTCCCCACCGCAAGCCTTCAGGACAGGTACGGGAACAGAGGGGAAGGCGCGCAGCGCTTCTCCTCTGTTCCCGGGGCTTGCGTGGGAGGAGGGTTTTTCCTCCCCACCGCCAACATTCAGAACAGCATTCTGAATGTTGGCAGTGGGAAGGAAAACCCTTCTCCCACCCCAAGTCTTCAGGACAGCCTTCCGAAGCCGGGGGCGGGAGGCGGTGTCCCCGCCCCGCCGCCTGGCTTCGGAGCATCCTTCCGAAGCCGGGCGGCGGGAGGAGGTGTCCCCGCCCCGCCGCCAGGCTTCGGAGGAGGTCCGAGGACAGTGGGGAAGACGCGCTGCGCTTCCCCGCTGTCCCAGAGATTTCCCTATGGGCTTTCGTCTTGCGAAGGAAGCCCATAGGGAAATTCGTTTTGCGAAGCGCCTCCGCGACGGAAAACCCTTTCGTCTAGCGGGTTTTCCGTCTTGCGAGGCGTTCGTCTTGCGGGGCACCACTGTACAAAGCAGGGATAGGGAAACTGTGGCCCTCCAGGTGTTGCTGAATGCCAACCCCCAGCAGCCCCTGCTACCATGGCCAATGGTCAGAGATGGTGAAGCTGCATTCCAACAACATCTGGAGGGCTACAGGTTCTCCAGCCCGAACAAACCTTTACGTGTGGAAACACAGCATGTCAGGAATAAAGTTTTCTTACTTATTTATTAAATTTATTAGTCACTCTTTTCTTTTTGTTTGCCACAGCAACTCAAAGTGACTTACCATATTTTAAGCAAAAACCCAAACCCAAATGCATTAAGACCAGCATTTTAAAAAATCCTTAAAAGATCCCACCTGTGCAAAAAAAAGCCATAGACCTGATGAAAGATGCATGTTTTTGTCTGGCACTTAAATGTATGTACTAACGGCACCAGGCAGGCCTCCATTGGAGAACATTCCATAAATGGGGAGCCACCACTGAAAAGGCTTGTTTTCATGTTGCCAACCTACAAGCAGACCTCCATATGTGCCTACAGGGGGCACATATGAAGAGAGGTGGTCTTTGAGGCATCAGGGTCCTGAGCCGCATACAACTTTATAGATAAAAACCAGCACCTTTGAACTGGGCCTGGAAACTAATCAACAGCCAGTGCAGTTTGCCCAGGATCTATGTGCTCAGACCGTCTTGCCCAAGTGAGCAACCTGGCTGCTGAATCCTGCACCAGCTGAAGGAAAGGGTGTAAATGTAAGGGTGTAAATAGTGATTGGGGGATGCAGGTGGCGCTGTGGTGTATACTACTGAGCTTTGGGCTTGCCAATTGGAAGGTTGGCAGTTCGAATCCCCACGACAGGGTAAGCTCCCGTTGTTCGGTCCCTGCTCCTGCCAACCTAGCAGTTCGAAAGCACGTCAAAGTGGAAGTAGATCAATAGGTACCGCTCCGGTGGGAAGGCAAATGGCGTTTCTGTGCGCTGCTCTGGTTTCACCAGAAGTGGCTTAGTCATGCTGGCCACATGACCTGGAAAAACTGTCTGTGGACAAATGCTGGCTCCCTCGGCCTATAGAGCAAGATGAGCGTGCAACCCCAGAGTCATCTGCGACTGGACTTAGCTGTCAGGGGTCCTTAACCTTTAAATAATGATAGAAGCATTTCAGCTGAAACACTTGGAAGCCAGTTATGATGGAGGCCAGCCCTATGACCCTCAGGAGGAAGTTCCACACATGAGGGGGACACCTCTTATAAGGCCCCGTCTCTGGTGCAGCCTTCACCAGCCTTGATTTACAACTCCCATCAGTCCCAAAACATCTCAAGGGCACCAGCTTGGCAAAGGCTGCATTGGAATTTTCAAATCTAACTGATTGGAAAGAAAGCAGAGCCTCTAAAGGGGTAGGTCGGGTTGAGGAAACCCCATTTGTGGAATGTTTTCCTCAAGGAGTCGTGGCTGGGGGCACACTTTATGTCCTTTTGCCACCAGGGAAGCATATACTGCACTGTATTATTTCCCAGGCCATTCACAGTGTCAGCAGAGCTCTTTCATTTATTCTGCACATAAGTTTATGAATTTCATTTTCCCCTGCTGCTTTAATGGCTGTTGATCTTTGTTTCTAAATTCTATTCCAAATCATTTAATATTACTATTATTATTTTTGTAATGGTTTGATGGTTGTCCTGAAAGCCATGTTAAAGCAGAGTGAGGCACTCCCCCCCCCTATTTTTAAGGGGGAGGGAAGCAAACAAGAAAAACTCACCAGCAGCAGCTTAAGCAGAGCGGCAGTATCACGATCGCCTGTCACGTTGAAGAGGAGCACCCGGACTTCAGAACCGCTGCAAACGCAAGGAAAGAGTCAGGTCTCATTATCTATTCACCACCACCCCAGCTCAGTGGAAGACAGACACTCAGAAGGCCAGAAGATCTCACAAGGTATAGGGACGGCCACCAACTTGTTTAAAAGAGGATCAGACAAATTTATTCAGGACAAGGCTCTACTAAGCAGTAGAGGCTCAGAATGGAAAGAGACCCCGGCCAAACCCTCGCTTACTCTGCAGGCTTCTCCTCATTCAGGGCAGCTTTGCGAAACCAGCGGACGCAGGCCTGTATACTGCTGGTGGTGTGGGCCCCATCGATGTACCACGTCACAGGACCGTGGTGCAGCACCTGGTTTCGACCAAGCCACACGGCTTCCTGTAGCCCTGGAGAGCAAAACAGACAGAGGTGGAGGCTAAGCAGGAACAATGCTCTGTACAACAAGTCCTACACAGGCCTTTATTTCATCTGCTGCTACGTTCACATCTTCCCCATTTCCGCCGAGGAAAGGAGTACATGATGAGACAGGAAAATAAATTACCGTATTTTTCGCTCTATAAGATGCAGCAGACCACAAGACGCACCTAGTTTTTGGAGGAGGAAAACAAGGAAAAAAATATTCTGAAGCCAGAACAGCAAGAGGGATCGCTGTGCAGTGAAAGCAGCAATCCCTCTTCCTGTTCTGGCTTTTGGGATAGCTGCACAGCCTGCATTCGCTCCATAAGATGCATACACATTTCCCCTTACTTTTTAGGAGGCCAAAAGTGAGTCTTATAGAGCAAAAAATACGGTAAAAAAACCCAGCCTTTCACTCCAGAGAGTACCCAAAGCCATTTGCTACCAGTGCGATAACAAAACACTAAGTAATAAAAAAAATGTATAAATTACATATCCATAAAACATTACTAAAATATTAACAATCACAGAAATCAGGGTGCTAAAAATCAGGGCATTAATAGTCTGGGAATGTACTAGTGAATAAATATGTTTCCAACAGAGGCTGGAAGCACCGAAAAGGTTTGTGGCGCATGAGCTCCTGAGAGGAAGTTGTTTCATAGCAAAGGTGAGGAGTCTTTGCCGCCTCAGCCTGGTTTGGTCCATTTCAGCTGAGCCACCCCCAGTTCCCCTACACCCAACAGAATAGTTGACATCAAGTGTGGGGCACATAAAATCCTTTAAAACATCTGCGTCTGTGTGTGGATAACCTGTGGTCTTCCAGATGCTGTTGAACTACAACAGCCATCATGCCTGAGCATTGGCCATGCTTGTTGGGTCAGGTGAGAGTTGGGAATCTAACAACATCTGGAGGGGCTGCAAGTTCGCCACCGTGGCGCTAACTGCGGGTGCTGGAGACTGGGGAAAGCACGTACTCTGCACTCTTCCTCCTTTGTCTAATTTGGGAACTGACGGAACAGCAGCAGAACACACCAAGATAGGAATCGCCACCTCAAAAGCATGCATTGTTGGTTTCCTCAAGTTCTGAGGGAAGGTAAGCCATAATTCTTGCTGCGTCCTTGCCTTGAGCAATTAAATATTTTTGAATTCATTCTTTTCGTATTATGCCTTGCCTTCCGCATCCATTTGCGTGGGAGCTGCCTCCTTTGAGGTAATTGACAGGAAAGCCAAGGAGGCTAAATGTGTCTACGCTGTTGTTTCCTTTATGTGAAAGCAAAATGTTCACACTGGGTCAAACTACCGCTTGCCAAAAGTCAAGGGCAATAGCAGTTTGGTCCATTTCAGCTGAGCCATCCCCAGTTCCCCTACACCCAACAGCTTTGTTGTTTAGTCGTTTAGTCGTGTCTGACTCTTCGTGACCCCATGGACCAGAGCACGCCAGGCACTCCTGTCTTCCACTGCCTCCCGCAGTTTGGTCAGACTCATGTTTGTAGCTTCGAGAACACTGTCCAACCATCTCGTCCTCTGTCGTCCCCTTCTCCTTGTGCACTCCATCTTTCCCAACATCAGGGTCTTTTCCAGGGAGTCTTCTCTTCTCCTGAGGTGGCCATAGTATTGGAGCCTCAGCTTCACGATCTGTCCTTCCAGTGAGCACTCAGGACTGATTTCCTTCAGAATGGAGAGGTTTGATCTTCTTGCAGTCCATGGGACTCTCAAGAGTCTCCTCCAGCACCATAACTCAAAAGCATCAATTCTTTGGCGATCAGCCTTCTTTATGGTCCAGTTCTCACTTCCATACATCATTACTGGGAAGACGATGGCTTTAACTATGCGGACCTTTGTTAGTAAGGTGATGTCTCTGCTTTTTAAGAAGCTGTCTAGGTTTGCCATCGCCTTTCTCCCAAGGAGCAGGCGTCTTTTAATTTCGTGACTGCTGTCACCATCTGCAGTGATCATGGAGCCCAAGAGCTTAGCTGACATCAAGTGTGGGGCACATAAAAAACCTGGTTCAGCTGAAAGGAGTTTTGCAGGAACCGCTAAGCAGATGATCTGCAGTGTCCACAAAGTCCCAATCAAAGTGCTCCGCAAGACAGTCATTCCTTCATTCCTTTTATTTCCTTTTATTATACCACTTTTCTATACACACAAAAATCATGCTCAGCACCCTACAACAAGGAAACAAACACTACAAAAGAATTTGTAACAAAGCAACATACAAAATACAAAGAAATACATTTCAATACTATAAATATAACAAGCTTACTTAAAGAAGAGTGCTTTGAAAATGGAACAGCAAGACCTTTGGAGGCAGAGGGAGAGATCATCTGATGTCACTGTGCGGTCAGATGATTAGGGCTTTGCTCACTTGCCAAACTTGGTCCATGGGGGCTGGTGGAGATAACAACCCAGCTACCAGTTCCCTGGGCTAAGGCCCACCACAATGTAGGCTCTTTTCCATTCCATCATAAGGTGAACATAGTCTGCAGACTATGCAGCTAACAGGGCCTTTTCTATTAGCAATTCATTCTTCTTGCACTCTCCTAATTTCATGACAATCCAGCCTTTTGACAAGCCAAGAGAAGGTGCAGTTAGCAGCTAGTGCAGGCATGGGCAAACTCCGGCCGTGCAGATGTTTGGGACTACAATTCCCATCATCCCTCGCTAACAGGACCAGTGGTCAGGGATGATGGGAATTGTAGTCCCAAACATCTGGAGGGACGGAGTTTGCCTATGCCTGAGCTAGCGAGTCTTCAAAAGCAGATCTGTGCTGCAAATGACCCCCTTCCAAGCCTACCTCGACATGGAGAGAGAAGGAAAGTCAACTGAGCTGTAACCCAACTAAGTTCTTCTCAGAGTAGACCCACTGAAATTAAAGTGGTACCTCGGGTTAAGTACTTAATTCGTTCCGGAGGTCGGTTCTTAAACCTGAAACTGTTCTTAACCAGAAGCACCACTTTAGCTAATGGGGCCTCCTGCTGCTGCTGCGCTGCCGGAGCACAATTTCTGTTCTTATCCTGAAGCAAAGTTCTTAACCTGAAGCACTATTTCTGGGTTAGCGGAGTCTGTAACCTGAAGCGTATGAAACCTGAAGCCTATGTAACCCGAGGTACCACTGTAACATTACCATGTTAGTCATGCTCATCTATTTCAATGGGTCCACTCTGAGTAGGACAACCCAATGCATGCAGAAAGTATTCTTAGAAGCTGGTCCATAGTGGTGGAACTGCCCTTTTCTTGGGAGACACAGCAAGGCCCCAACCAGGACAACTTCTGGAACCAGGCACAATGTTTCACTGGCTTCTGATGTTCCCAGAATACAGCAAGTGGAATGGTGGATTTAATCCCTGCCACAGATTTTGATTTCAGCACGGGTCTGGCATCAGCACACAGCGCTCTGCGGCAGCTTACAGGGCCCCAGGTGCTGAAAGTGAGCCCGATGCTGATGCGGATCCCTGCCCAGTGACTATCTTCTTTGGAGGGGGCAGTGTATGGGTCCAGTAGCTGTTGCCTTGATTTCCCACAAAGCTTTGGAGCCAGGCTCCATGAGGAATGTTGTGGAAAGTTAAAACAGTGGTTCCTGGACCCAGTCGTTTGGGCACTGCCTCCTCGGTCAGCTGGACAAAACCCACTAAAGTAGCAAAGGGTTCACTAGAGGGAATTTTGCCCTGTACACCCTCATGCCTGAAGCCAGACCTGTTTTAGCATATTACAGCCACCATTCCTTGAGCGCAAAATCTGGATCAAGCAGTGTAGAGGTTGTTTCTTACAGGTTTTCCTTCATAACATTAGGACCAGAAAATGAGCTTTAAAAGTCAACCAGCCAGTCACACACAAAATACAAAATCCTTTCAAACATCTGTGTCTGTGTGTGGATAACCTGTGGTCTTCCAGATGTTGTTGAACTACAACAGCCATCATGCCTGAGCATTGGCCATGCTGGTTGGGTCGGGTGAGAGTTGGGAATCCAACAACATCCAGAGGGGCTGCAAGTTCGCCACCGTGGCACTAACTGCGGATGCTGGAGACTGGGAAAAGCACGTACTCTGCACCCTTCCTCCTTTGTCTAATTTGGGAACTGACTGAATAGCAGCAGAACACACCAAGATAGGAATCGCCACCTCAAAAGCATGCATTGTTGGTTTCCTCAAGTTCTGAGGTAAGGTAAGCCATAATTCTTGCTGGGACCTTGCCTTGAGCAATTAAATATTTTTGAATTCATTCTTTTCGTATCACGGCTTGCCTTCCGCATCCATTTGCGTGGGAGCTGCCTCCTTTGAGGTAATTGACAGGAAAGCCAAGGAGGCTAAATGTGTCTACGCTGTTGTTTAGTTTATGCGAAAGCAAAATGTTCACACTGGGTCAAACTACCGCTTGCCAAAAGTCAAAGGCAACAGCAGTGTGTGGGAAAACAGCCAAGAGAAAGGCCCGTGACCCCTCTTTTTTAGAGCATTGGAGGAGCTAAGAGAGAAGGAGAAACTCACCTTGCAGCATGGCTTCTCCTGGCTTGAAGACAGGGGCCAATGGTGGAGATCTCTTTGCCGGCAGCTCTGAGCTCAACCAGGGGGCCTTCAGCTCACCAATATCTGTCCAGACACAGAAAAAGCCACCCTCTTCTCTGTTAGTGAACACTTAAGTGTTTGCTGCAATCCTAATTTTTTAAAATTCATTTATTTATATCCCAAAGCCTTCAGCACAAACACGCTAATGAGAGAGACAAACACAGCAAATCAAAGGCAGCAGATGAGGCTATCACTAAATTAATAGAGTTTATATCTTGAGCCCCATTTAAGTCACTGTTAAAAAGATATTTTTAAAAATCAGCAAGGAGGAAGTCTTTGAGAGGCACAAAACTCTACAAAAACTCCAGACTTTCGCACTCTAGCTCTCAGAACCAGTGAAGGCAGTGAAAGTCCTGTGTGAGTGTCTGGAGGCGGATGGATGGCAGCTGATTGAGGTTGAATCCAGACAAGACAGAAGTACTGTTTTGGGGCGACAAGGAGCGGGAGGGTGTGGAGGACTCCCTGGTCCTGAATGGGGCAACTGTGCCCCTGAAGGACCAGGTGCGCAGCCTGGGAGTCATTTTGGACTCACAGCTGTCCATGGAGGCGCAGGTCAATTCTGTGTCCAGGGCAGCTGTCTACCAGCTCCATCTGGTATGCAGGCTGAGACCCTGCCTGCCTGTAGACTGTCTCACCAGAGTGGTGCATTCTCTAATTTTTAATGTCTGACATTTTATTATGCTTTTAATATTCTGCTGGGAGCCACCCAGAGTGGCTGGGGAAACCCAGCCAGATGGGTGGGGTATAAATAATAAATTATTGTTATTATTATTATATCAAACTTTAAACACTTTAAAGCGTTTGTGATTAAAACAGAAAAAGTAGGACCTAAATCTTTAAAATTAAAGGCATTACCTTTATAACAACCTTGCAAAGCGGACTGGTATCAGTTAGCCCTCTTCCCAACTACAGCCCCAAGGAAAGTTAGTTTCCAACACATCCAACTATCTTCACATGTGGATGGTGCCAGTCCCAATAACCAACTTATGTAAGACCACGTGCTCTGGGGAGGCAGGCTAATGTAATGCCAGATGTCTCTACTTGCTGGACCAAACTGGGCTTAAGACCCTGACACAGCCCCCTCCACATGGTTTTAATTTCAAAATTAAAACACAACAATGTCAAGATAATAAGTCAAACTTACACATAACTGAGTGAGGACCATATGGGGCTGCCTTATTCGGGTGAGACCACTTGCCCATCCTGCCCTGTATGTAGTCAGCATTTACTGACAGTGGTTTCAAGCAGAGAATTATTTCCCAGCCTTACCTGGAGATGACAGGGATCGAGCCTGTGATCTTCCGCATGCCCAGACACTGAAGAACAGAAGCAGTGATGGGTGGTGTCTGTTAGAGCTGGTAGGGTGGAAGGCAGGGAGACAAACAGCAGGTGGCGCCACAGCCAACTAGTCTTAGTTTGTCCCCATTCTCCTCCTGCTCCGTTCTACAAGGTGCAACACCGAGACTAAAGGGGAGGAGGCTTGCTGTCAGCGCCAACCCCTGGCCTCAATGAGAGTAGGAAGGCAGGCAGATGGGTGCTGGCCGAGAGCAGACTAAGGTTGTGGGGCGTGGCCCTGCTTGCCTAGCCTCCAGGGGCCAGAAGAGAAGCATACACTCTGGTGTCTAAGGACAGCTGAGGAGCCTGGTTGCTGGATCAGGCCACAGACCCATCTACTCCAGCACCCAGTTCTCACAGTGGCCAACCAGATGCTTCAATGCGAAGTCTGCGAGCGGAGCCAGAACACAAGAGCGCTTTCTCCACTTGCAATCTCTGGTAACCAGGGGCTACGTGCCCTTTGCTCCCAGGAAGAATAAGACCAACCCATGGCCACCACTCCAAAAGGAGAAGCTCACTCGCTCCCTCCCTGTCTGAAAAAAACCACTCAGCTCCAATTGCCCCAGGGACGGTAGGAGCAAGTCCTGGGCAGTGCGTATGGAGGTCCTGGGCTGCCCAGACGACAATAACCCCCCTCGGCCTCGCTTGATATGGTCCAAAGGAAAGGGAAGCATATGGCCCCCACTTGGCTGCAGTGTTGCCAAAAGGAGGTGTACAAGGCGCCGTCCAACCATCTTATGGACTCCACTCTGGATTTGTGTAGGGTTTACTCCTTAGCCTTTTCTTCTGCTGAAGATGTCCCACAAGGCTGTGGAAGTAAGGGTCAGAGATTTCCTCCTCCTATATGGGCTACCTTCCCAGGTTGATGAGCCCCCATCTCACTTCTCTCTACAGCATGTACAGAAACCACCTTCTTGACCGTTGGACCTACCCATCCGCTCAATCTGCTAGAGCCTGTCTTCGCATGCAGGTGATAGACAAGTCCCTAACTCACTGAGGGCTTGAGACCCATCAGCTACCCTCACCACTGTAGGAGCAAGTCAAAGTAAAGGACACTCTGGCCCATTGACTAATGCAACAAGAGCCACCAACTGCTTTTACAAGCAAGAACAACACAACATGCTGGTTACTACAAAGACTTAGCACAGGCCTCGGTCCAGTATACCTGAAGGAGCGTCTCCACCCCCATCATTCTGCTCGGACACTGAGGTCCAGCTCTGAGGGCCTTATGGTGGTTTCCTCACTGTGAGAAGTCAAGTTACAGGGACTTCAAGTTCCATGCAAGCAAGCGAGAGGCATTATCAGAGTCCAAGAACACATTCCAGCATGGCAAGAATAATCTTTCAAAGAGGCTGCAAGGTAGGGCTTGCAAGACATGTAGCTGGGGATGGGCTGTGTCCCAGAAAGAGTGCTGAGGGCCAGACAGAATGGCCTGGAGGGCCACATTCTGCTCCCAGGCCTGTGGATCCCCACCCTTGCTTTGCTGCTATGTACAGAGTCAATTCAGACACGACAGTGGAGTTGTATACTTTTCCAACATTGTAGCATGACATATTCTCACGGCTACTCCATCCTATACCTGAGCGTTCCAGTTATGTACTGGAAGTTGTTCTGAGGGGCACAGCCCCGCCCCACCCTGAAAAAGTGAAAAATGACTCCTTCCACTCACCCAGATACCCCTGCTGTCCAAGCCACGTGTGAGAGAGCTGGAGGGCCAAGGCAGCGTTGGAGCGCTGGTGGTCACCCGCCAATCCCAGTGGAAGAGGCTTCCCATCCTCTTCGAAGGCATCCAGGTCTGGGCACAGGTACAGCTGGCACTGCATAATAATAATAATGATTTATTATTTATACCCCACCCATCTGGCTGGGTTTCCCCAGCCACTCTGGGTGGCTTCCAACAGAATATTAAAATACAATAGTCTATTCAACATTGAAAGCTTCCCTAAACAGGGCTGCAGAAGACAAAGGCTTCTACTCTCCGGTTATCCACTCCACGCCAGCCGTCCCAACCAGTCACGTAGGAAACTGGACTGCCCATGTGGATAACACCCTACATGAACCAGTGGTTTTTAACCCTAACTTCGCGTTGCCCCTGCTGCAAACATGCACTGTCCCATTGCTGAACTGGTGTTGTTGTCATTAAGCTTCTAGATGTTCACCTGAAATCTACCTATCCTCCCCTGGGTGATACCAGAGAAAAGATCTTTCCCTATTCCAAACACGGCAGTCCTTCATGTACAGCTGCCTTCACTAACCTGATGCCCTTCAGATGTTTTGGGCTAAAGATGCTGGGGCTGGTGCGGGTTGCGGTCCAAAACATCTGAAGGACACCAGGGTTGGTGAAGGCAGCTGTGCAGGAAGAGGGCTCACCTCCATGTTTACCTCAGTTTTCTCTTCTCCAAGCTAAAGGTGTCCACTCCCTTGGGCATTTCTTCATAGAACTAGGTTTCCATATTCCCACACACACCTTTCACACCCCAGGAGGGACTCATGTTCTGAGAAGGAGGCTAAGGACATAGGGGTATGTTTTGTGGGACTTCTTACCGAACTCTTCTCAGCTCTCTCTCTCAGGACATCTAAGGGCCGCTCTGGCTGAGGAACAGTGAATGCCGGCACTCCAGGCTGAAAAGCAAGCCGAGAAAGAATAAAGCGGCAGCCTCAGAGCACTAGAAAAAGGGGACACACACACACACACACACAGTTTCTGCTCCCAAATGCAGCCTGACCATATTCCACCAAGTTGCGCAGTGCGCCAAAGCTGAGCAGGAGGTGCCAACATACATTCTGTGTGGGCTGCTGGAGTGAGTGGGAAGTCAGGTTCTGTTACATCAGGGATAGGAAACGATTTTTCAGCTCAAGTGCCACCTTTCCTTCTGGACAACCCTCCCGAGGGCCACATGCCAGGGGCACACAACAGGCTAGCTTATGCACACACTTGCAGAGCCCTCTCCATCTATCCACAGAAGCAAAAGGAATTATGAGAGTTTAGGGATATATTCCAGCCAGGGAAAAACACTCCGCAGGCAAAGGTGAGTGGCCGGGGAAGCATTCAAAGGTTCAGACTCAAGATGTGTGAATGGTGTAAATGTGGCCTGAAACAATTGCACAGTTCAAATGTGAAACATCAGTTTATGTGTGTGTATAGATGATAGATAGATAGATAGATAGATAGATAGATAGATAGATAGATGGATGATAGATAGAGATAGATGACACGGTTATAGACATACATAGATAGATACATCACTATTATTATTATTATTATTATTATTATTATTATTATTATTACTACTACTACTACTATTTATACCCCGCCCATCTGGCTGAGTTTCCCCAGCCACTCTGGGCGGCTCCCAACCAAATATTAAAAACACAATATGTGCAAACAATGCAGCATAAGTACAATTTATAATTTTTAAAAATTGAATTACAAAATATGCATGAATCCAAATTACAAAAAACCTTTCACACTACTCAAAATGAATATAAACACACAACCCCACATATACAATCCTTACAATCACTACATCCCTCCATCCACTCAATTCTCATTCCGATAAAACACTCCAACATTGAAACAAGGACTAGCTAACCAATAATCTTGTACGGAAAAATAGGCCCACTAAATAAAAGCAACCCCACAGCAGCAGACCCCTCCCCATCCATTTCCTGCCCTGTGTTTCACCTGAGGTAATAAAGACGTCTCACCTAAGGACATTAAGGACTTACCTTGAAGATGCCTCCCTTCTGCCAGGCAATCTTCTCAATGGTGTCACCCAAGATGCTGGTGTGGTCGATACCCAGAGAGGAAACCCCACACACAACCGGTTTCCTACAAGGAAGAGAAGGTGTGAGAAGGGCATCCCCTCTCCTTGGGGACTCTACTGTATCCAAACCACAAGTCTCAGTGAATGGCAATGGGGTCCAAGTGCGCGCGCACACACACCTCATTTGAGCAAACGCCGAGGTCAGTGTTCCACCTCCCCTTTACTCGCCATGCCTTGCTGAGGTAGCTTGCGTGATGACAGGCCCGTACAATGAGAATAGGACTGCTGCAAGCTAGCCCACAATTCCTGCAAGTTGGTGCTATTATGCTATGTGGGGCAGGCGACCCGGCTCTAGAACTGCCTCCATTTCTCCCAGTGGCACCAGAGGAAAGGTGTACCAGCTAGCATGGCACCGACTGTCCAATTTGGTTCCTCCCTTGCCAAAACTTCCAGTATCAGCAGTCATTCTCCATCTTAAGTTACGTAATCTTGTCACACTCTGCTGCCTGAACTTGCCTGTCTTTCTCTTCCTTCACATTTGTTTCGCCTTTTGTACCACGTCCCTTAAGACTGCAAGCAATTATATATAATGACAACTACATGCTGATATGCTGAAAGCCAGTGTGATGCAGTGGGCAAAAGACTGAGAGACCTGGGGCCGTATCTCCACTCAGTCATGGACCTCAGTTGGGTGGACCTGAGCCAGGAACAGTATCTCTGCCTACCTCACTGGGTTGTTGTAAGGATATAATGTAGAGTGGGAGGGCCATGTGCATTCATCATTAGCCCCTTGGAGAAAAGGTGGGAAAGGAAATAAATAATGATAATAATGATGATGATGATGATATAAATTAAGAAATGGAGCGCACACACCAGTGGGAAACTGCTTGGTGAACTGTGCCCACTCATTAGGGAAGCAAGAAACTGCTTAAAGTTCTTTTTTATGAGATGGCATTCCAAGCATTTCCCACCAAGAAGATGACGGCCATTTCGAACCGTGCACACATGCCCTACCTGATAATATTGGTGCAGTCATATGCACCACCAATGCCAACTTCCATGACTGCTAGGTCTACCTGGGAAGAAGAAAGGTGCGTATCAGCAAAGTATGTACACAGAGCATGTACACAGAGCAGGCACACTCCAGGGGAAGTTGGGCTGCAGCTTCCATTGTCTCTGACCACTGGGTCATGCTGGCTGGAGCTGGTGGGGGTTCAAGAGTTATGGAAATCCTCCAAGCTGGGGGAAGGTTGGCCTTAAAGACACCTTCCGGGACTAGTGAGAGTCAGTCTCCAGCAACTTCTGGAGGGTGACATATTGGTTACCCCTGCACCATAAAGTGCAGCATGGAATCTGAAGGGGTGGGGCATCCTTTATCCCTCTCTCACTCTGAAAACTGGATAGACCTGAACAACACTATAAGGAGGGTGGCCACATGTCCTTCTCTACAGAGGACAGTCCTCTATTTGAAAGTGTCATCTGTTGGAAGGTTGTCCAGTCAAATTTGATAACAAAGGTAGAACAGGATGGGGCCTTGAAGTTGTTCATCTATAGTTAGCACCTGGACAGCAGAGTAAGCAACCAATCACACATTCACAGTATTCCACACCAAGGTGAGTTTTCCATTGAAATTACAGCCATTATCTCTAAAATTGCACTGACTCATATATTTGCATGTGCTAATATGTATGCATCTATGCCCTCTTTTGTGGTGACAGAACATAAAAACAAGGCTCCTGTTCCAGGCTGTGCAAGCCCTAAGCAGAAGTACTCTTCTAAGAGGAACAGGCAGGAATGGCAATATTTTGCTGTAAATCCCATTTACCATGACTAGGAGCCATTGACAGGCTTTTATCTTCCACTAATCCAGGCTTCCTCAACCTCGGCCCTCCAGATGTTCTGAGACTACAACTCCCATCATCCCTGACCACTGGTCCTGCTAGCTAGGGATTATGGGAGCTGTAGGCCAAAAACATCTGGAGGGACCAAGGTTGAGGAAGCCTGCACTAATCTGCCTGATCTCCTCTTCTTTAAAGGGCCATGCGAGCAATGCCACCAAGCTCCTTAGGAACATAGGAAGCTGCCTTATACCAAGTCAGACTATTGGTCCCACCTATCTCAGTATTGTCTACACTGAGTGGCAGCAATCTTCTCCATGATTTCTGGCAGGGTTCTCTCTCAGCCCAACCTGAGGACTAACCTGGGGTCTTCTGCATGCCTACCCAAAGCACGACCACTTCCTCCATGTCCGGGCCCAGCACCTTAAAGGCCGAGATGCCATAACTGGAATGTATCAATACACCATGCATTTAAAGCGCTGTGATACTACTTTAAACATGGCTTCCTCCAAAGAATTATGGGAGCTACAATTCCTAGAGTTCCCTGTGAAGAAGGACTGATTTTTTAAACTACTCAGGCAACTGCAGCTCTGTGAGAGGAATAGAGGCCTCCTAACGATTCTCACCTTGAACGGACTACAGCTCCCATAATTCCTTGGGGGAAGCCACGGCTGTTCAAAGCAGAGTCATAGTACTTTAAATGTATGGTGTCAATGTGGCTTAGACCCAAAGTCTAAGCCTAGTCTCACTCTGGTCAACGTTAACGATTGAGTCTGCAAGGAGTACCTTTTCCTGCAAGAAGACATGGAAAGCCATGATGGTGAGGAAACGGAAGTAGGCAGGCATGGCTGGATGTTCAGAAACCTTTGGAGAAAACAAGATGTGGGTTAGGAGGACTGCAATTCACTGATGAGCAATCTATACCCCAAAGCAAAGCTTCTCTTTGTTCACCACTAATCAGCCAAACTGGGTTTCCTTAAGATGTGCACTCTGGGCTCCATAGTGCAGGAGACTTTCAAAATGTTGTGCTTAGTCCAACAGCAAAGCTAGAATTAAAATTTTTTTTCCCAGACAGCAGTCTTTTATTTTCATACAGCTATGTCAATATAAAACCACCAACCACAAATCTATCAAGGCATACAACAATCAAAAGTTTCTTTTTTATTTAAATGCTTTTACAGCAAAAACAATCACACATCAGAATTATGTGAACTATTTTCTCACTCAAACTTTATGCAACACAGTTCCAGAAATACTTTACAGCAACATTTTGCTAACTTTTGAATACTTTTATTTGATTTTTTAAAAAGAGGAATGGCTGAGAAATGTTTTAAATCAACCAAGATAATTTTAAAAATATATACAAAATGGCACAAGTGACAGCTCTGAACCCACAAAATCACAACTCTAGGCAAAACAATCATTTTGCCTTATCAATCCTTCTATTTCTAACGTTCATGCCGTTGATGAGTGTAGCCTAAACGCCACCATCCATGCACAAGACAAAGTGGATCAGCACTTTGCAGCAGTATCACAAGAAACCCTCAACACTCTCTTGAAACCACCCCAAAACAGGCCCACAAAGACTATGCATGATCAGCAGCCAGAGAATGACAACCGACTTGGCAGTCTGGTAATGGAATGGGAGATTCTGGGAAAAGGCCATTGCTGACCATCAGGGACAGTGAACAGGAGCCCCTCACACTGCAACACTGGTGGCGAACAGGTTCTGCTGCACTCACCTTGCTCTCCTCCAACCGATTATACACCTGCCAGAAGTACTTGCTGAACAGCTCCTTGCTGATGGGCTGCCCATTAATCCGGATCCTCTCGCGTACTTGAACCAGATGTGGAGAACTTTGGAGAGAAACAGACAGACAGAGAGGATTAAGCCCTAGACTCTGTGTGAACCCACCAAGTAGAGCCCAGATATCACTGCATGCCCTGCTGCATTGTCTCTCCTACAAACATTGGTGAAGGGTAGCTGAGGCATGAGGTTGGGCACCCTTGTGGCTGCAGCAGTGCTGTTGCACACCAGGATGTAAAGCAGCAACAAGTTGGTAAAAGGTGTGAAAGGATGCACATCTGTATCTCCTACCACCCCCAAAGCTTCCCTCCGCCCCGCTTGGCGCTGTCCTATCCCATCCCAGTCTCAGCACAGCCACTACACATGTTGTCCCACCTGCTCCCTTAACAAAACTATGATTATAATAATAATAATTTATTATTTATACCCCGCCCATCTGGCTGGGTCTCCCCAGCCACTCTGGGCAGCTTCCAACAAAACACTAAAATACAATAACCTATTAAACATTAAAAGTTTCCCTAAACAGGGCTGCCTTTAGATGTCTTCTAAAAGTTTGGTTGTTATTTTTCTCGTTGACATCTAGTGGGAGGGCGTTCCACAGGGCGGGCGCCACTACCGAGAAGGCCCTCTGCCTGGTTTCCCTGTAACTTGGCTTCTCACAGTGAGGGAACCGCCAGAAGGCCCTCAGAGCTGGACCTCAGTATCTGGGCTGAACGATGGAGGTGGAGACGCTCCTTCAGGTATGCTGGACCGAGGCCGTTTAGGGCTTTAAAGGTCAGCACCAACACTTTGAATTGTGCTCGGAAACGTACTGGGAGCCAGTGTAGGTCTTTCAAGACCGGTGTTATATGGTCTCGGCAACCGCTCCCAGTCACCAGTCTAGCTGCCGCATTCTGGATTAATTGCAGTTTATGGGTCACCTTCAAAGGTAGCCCTACATAGAGCACATTGCAGTAGTCCAAGCGAGAGATAACCAGAGCATGCACCACTCTGGCGAGACAGTCTGCGGGCAGGTAGGGTCTCAGCCTGAGTATCAGATGGAGCTGGTAAACAGCTGCCCTGGACACAGAATTGGCCTGTGTCACAGAATTGACAGAATTAAAAAAACTATGATTCCCAGAGTGGTTTAATGATCAACCCTTCTTCCCAGGGAATCCTTGGAATTGCAGCTTTGAGGGGGAATAGAGACCTCCTAACAATTCTCATCACCCTTGACAAATTACAGTCCCCTGCATTCTTTTTTGTGGAGTGGAAGCAATGGCTGTTTAAAACTGGTATCATCGTGCTTTTAATGTATGGTGGGAATGTGAACCAAGAGGGGCCGAGCCAGTCCAGCCCTCAACACAGCAGCACCTACCTGTAGAAACCAGTCTTTAAGCCATAGTTGCGAAGAATGCGTTCTGTGAAGGCACATGCTGAGCCCTGAGGTGGGGGAGAAGCGGGAAAGAAATTACTAAGTGGACAAAGGCAAGAAGGGAGGGTGTCCCTTCTTCTAGTAGGAAGGCAGGCTCAAGTTCTACCCACACACTGCTGGTTAAAAAAGAAATCAGCACAGGGACACATCTGTCTGGCAAGGGGAATCTGGACAAAATTGCTACCCAAGACAACTCAGGTGATTTGATACAGGAGCCCAGGTAATACATATACATAGCTACTCATTCAAATGGGGGTTCATTTAGAATTGCTCATTAACTTACACTGTGGGTGGGAGGGTGGGGGAGTGAGAATACTGTGAACCATCTGGCCAGGTTAAAGCCTGCAAATCAACCACCATCTGGATGTTTTCTAACCACCCCATCTTTCTAGGCCATATCTGGTGCTTTTCCATTCATGAACTCTTCCTTTTGTTCTTTCTTCACAAGAAAAAGGATATTATTCCCATTTTACAGTTGGAGAACTGAGAGAGATAAAGATTTTGCCCAGGACCAAACAATGGCTAGCCCAGGAAATAATAATAATAATAATAATAATAATAATAATAATAATAATAATAATGTGATTCTGGTGAAGGGCTGGCAAGAAATACAATACATAGCAACAATATTATATCCTGCCCTTTTGGCACCCTAACCATAAACCATAAACACAACTGGAAAAACTAGAAGCACTAAAAATGTTTAGAACGTTTTGCTTAAGAACGGCATTTCTTAAAAAACAGTGTCTGGGTTAAAAGAGCATGTTTTGTGTCCATGTATATCAGAGATAGTCAACATGGTGTCCTCCAGATGTTGATGGTTAGACATGCTGGTTGGGACTGAGGTGAGTTGTATTTTAGCAGTGTCCGGTGGTGTCACATTAGCTACCCCTTGTATATACACACTAATGAATAAATCCAGGTCTGCATCCAATCACACAGAAAAGCCAGACTGAGTCAGCTCTTCAGACTAAGGCTGGGCGATGTTTGGTTTTCAACATTGCGATATATAACCAGCTAAACATCGTTATATACCAACATATCACGATGTCTGAAATAAGAATGGAACTCTATAACAAGGAGGTAACCTGCTTTTTAATAAAGGCTTGCTTTGTAATATGAAGAGAAGCTATTCAGGGGGAACCAAACAACATAAACACAAGAAAAATAAAAACTAAAAACACTCCCCCCAACCCTGTGTAATCGCTAGTGGGGGTGGTTGGGAGGGAAGAGAAGGGAAGCGGGGGAAGCGCATAAAGCAGCATAGGGTTCGGGAACAAAGGTGTGAGAAAGCAGAAGGGCTAGGGGAGAACTGAGGAGAGTTCAAGCGTAAGGGGAAGAAAATGGGAAACATACCGGGGGGGGGGGCATAGACACGAGGGAGACACAGACAAAATAATCTTTCATAAAAGCTTTCCTGTACAGCCCCTGTATAGGAAAAGTTCCAAAGTGCCGAATCCGCCTGGCTCTGTGAAGAGCCCTTGTGACGCCTTCCCAAAACCAGACAAAAGGGATTTTGTAATTTTCCATAAAATTGACCCTGTGAGGCCAATATTTGGCGCCTCCAAGTGGATCCTCACAGTTATGCATCTTCTCAATTTTGCGGCATCTCAGCACCACTTTCAGCTTGAGGGAGGCGGTGCCAGGGCTCTGGTAGCATCCCAGAGCCCTTGCGCTGTCCTCCTAAGGCCAAACAAAATGGAAGGGCCTTTGTAATCCTCCATAAAATGGCGTCCTGTGGAGGCCAATATTTGGCGCCCCGGCTTTGGGAAGGTGGTGCCAGGGTTCTGACAGCATCCCAGAGCCCTTGCGCTGTCCTCCCAAGGCCAAACAAAATGGTAGGGCCTTTGTAATCTTCCACAAAATGGCGTCCTGTGGAGGCCAATATTTGGCGCCCCGGCTTTGGGAAGGTGGTGCCAGGGCTCTGACAGCATCCCAGAGCCCTTGTGCTGTCCTCCCAAGGCCAAACAAAATGGAAGGGCCTTTGTAATCTTCATAAAATGGCGCCTATGGAGGCCAATATTTGGCGCCCCCAAGTGGATCTTCTCAATTTTGCAGCACCTCAACACCACTTCCGGCTTTGGGAAGGTGGTGCCAGGGCTCTGACAGCATCCCAGAGCCCCTGCGCTGTCCTCCCAAGGCCAAACAAAATGGAAGGGCCTTTGTAATCTTCCACAAAATGGCATCCTGTGGAGGCCAATATTTGGCACCCCGGCTTTGGGAAGGTTGTGCCAGGGCTCTGACAGCATCCCAGAGCCCTTGTGCTGTCCTCCCAAGGCCAAACAAAATGGAAGGGCCTTTGTAATCTTCATAAAATGGCGCCTGTGGAGGCCAATATCTGGCGCCCCCAACTGGAGCATCTCAATTTCACACCTCCTTACGTCAGCACCCTGTGCAGAGAAACATCCAGCACTCCAAATCCCGCACTGCGGCTAAGCAAGGCGCCTGGCTTTGGGAAGGAAGCTGCAGGGTCCCAGAGCCCTCCGTCCGTCCTTAGGAGATGCAATACACTTGAGCAAAATAGCAGAGTGAATTGCATGCACACACCCCTCCCCTCCCGCTGCTTCTGTCCAGGGCGTAAGGATTGTTCCATCTTCACAAACCCCTTCCACATGAGAGACATGTGTCGGTTAAAGTGAGAGAAGGGATGGCTCTCCTGAGGTAACATAACAGAAGCCCCTAAAAGCCCACAGCTGAAGGACAACTTCGTTTCTCAGAAACCATCATTAGAAGAACCACAATAAAGCGCAGTAGTTCCATTGTACCTTTTTGTACAATTCTGGGGCTCCACCACTAGAGGTGCAGTTAGGATTTTTGGGTGGCTGAAACAGCATAGCGCTATGTAAAAATGAGAACAGAATGGTGGACTGGAAACAGCATTAAGTACCTACAGGAAAAGCAGGGCTTGTATGCACTCTCCTAGATAACAGAGAAGGCTCTGCTACTTGAAACGGCGTGGAGATCGACAGGCTGAAATGAGCATCTGACATACACAGAGGCCAGAAAGGAAAAGGGCTGCATGAGGGCTGGGCGATGTCTGGTTTCAGGATCGTGATATATCAACAGCTAAACATTGCGATATACCAATACAGAACGATGTCTGAAATAAGGATGGAACTCTGTAGAAACAACCCTGGTAATCCCCTGGTAACTGCTACTACTTAGGGGTCTAAAACTTACAAAATTTAACTTCCCTTTAACATATTGCTACGACTGTTATTTTACAGTACAGGTAATTTGTAAATTAGCACATTTTCTCAAAAATTAAAGCTGTAGGAGTAATTCGTAGCATAGATATCAAATGCAAGGTGAGAAAATGTTCCCTAATAGACACAAGGGGGACACAAACACAGAAAGGGAGAAGGGAGGAAGGAGGCATTGGCTGTGAAATATTTTAAATTGTTTCAATTGTTTTAATGTAGAGTTTTAATGGGGGGTGTATTTCTTGGGGTGGGGGTAATTGTGAAATGCTCATATGTTAGTTTGTATTTGTATTTTTAGCTTAGTTATTTATGTTAGCTAAATTATAAAAGTTATTTAAGGGGAGAGGGACAGGGCTGTCCCAAGAGAGGGTCCTAGCCAACATGTCTGGGGGAAGTTCCACAGGGGGGATGCATTGGGATACCCAGTCTCAGTGATTGGGGCAGGAGGAGGAGTTACTCAAGGGCCAGACCATGTCATTACCAAGGAGGCAGGTTTAGTCGTTGCCTGCAGGTCTGGTCCTGACCAGAAGGATGCAGGTTTCAACAAGGGTGTCCTACATGACCTGAAGGTGCTGCTGTGCAATGCCAGGTCAAAGATTCATAAGACCACTGCCATCCATAATTTGAACATGGATGGAGGAGTTGACCTGGCATGTGTAACAGAAACTTGGTTAGACATGGCAGATGTTCTTGCTCCTGCTTGTCTACCAGGTTTCTGTTATGCACAGCAGCCCAGGGCATGTGAGTGGGAAGGGGGGTTGCAGTGATTTTTAGGAAGTTATTAGTTATCACCAGGTGTCCTATTAGGGAGAGAGACCCAGTTTTCTGAGTGCATGTTCGAGAACTTGGGCAATAGGAGCAGTACAGCATTCCTATTGTGGACCTACCTCCTCGCTGCACCAAGGATTCCCTGCCAGAGCTGCTTCGGGTCATGACACATGTTCTCCTGGAGACGCCTAGTTTGGTTGTCCTGGGGGATTTTGACATCCATGCCGACATAACCTTACAAGGAGCCTCTTGGGACTTTGTGTAAAGCATGACCTCCATGGGGATGTTCCTGAATAAGTTTGGCCTGACTCATAGCCATGGACATGAATTAGATCAGGTGTTTTTACTTCTGTGGATGTGGGTGATCTGACACTAAGTTCCAGTGGAACCAAAGAAGTGCCACGGTCAGAGAACTTCCTGGTGCAACTGGACTTCTCTACGACCCTTCCCCTACACAGAGAGGTGAGACCAATTCAAATGGTCCATCCCTGCTACTTAATGGATCCAAATGGCTCCCAGAGAGTGGTAGGGGATGTATTATCCCATGCTGATTGCCTTTCAGTTGATTCCCTGGTGGCACACTGGAATGCAAACTGTCTGGCTCTGAAGTGCCCTCTGATTGCATGGAGCCTGGAAGGCCCCTGTGGTTTTCCCCAGAGCTGAAGGCAACAAAACAATTGTTGAGATGGCTAGAGGGCCAGTGGTGAAAAACTCATTCCAAATCGGACCAAACATAGGTTAGAGCTCAATATCTAGCCTACCAAGTGGAGAAAGTCATGGTGAAGAGGACCTTCTTCACCACCTCTACTGTATCTGCAGAAAACAGTACTAGGAGACTCTTTCAGGTGGTTTGTAGCCAATTATTGCCCAGTCTCATCTTTCATTCCTGGGCAAGATGATTGTGTGGTCCCTGAACAACTCCAGGTATGTCTGGAGGCTGTGGACCATTTGGATCCCTTCCATTCGGGATTCAGGCCCCATCACAGGATGGAAACCGTCTTGGTCGTGCTGGTCGATGATCTCTGGTGGGCTAGGGATAGAGGTGAAAGCTGTTTCTTGGTTCTGCTGGATCTCTCAGCGGCTTTGATACCAATGACCATGGCATCCTTCTGGACCATCTAAGCAGGTTGGGAGCTGAGGGGACTGTTATGCAGTGGTTCCACTCCTTCCTCTTGGGTTGTGTCCATAAAGTGGTGTTGGGGGTGAATGTTTGGACTCCTGGTCATTCACCTGTGGAGTGCCTCAGGGCTCTGTCCTCTCCTGCATGCTTCTTAGCATTTATATGAAGCCATGGACAGAGATAATCTGGGGGTTGGGGCTGGGCTGTCACCAATATGCTGATGACACTCAGCTCTATCTGCTGATGGATGGCCACATCGACTCGGCCGCGGACACACTGACCAGATGCTTGGAAGCTGTGGCTGGATGGTTTCATGGCAGCCGATTGAAACTAAATCCTTCTAAGACAGAGGTCCTATGGCTGGGTCGGGATGGCATGGGGATGAGGGATCAACTCCCTTCTCTTGCGGGGGCCCAATTAGTGCCACTGCCTTCCGTTAAGAGTTTGGGTGTAATCCTTGATGCCTCCCTTTCCATGGAGGCGCAGGTTACAGCAACAGCCAAGGCGCCATTTTTCCACCTTCGCCACATCAAGCAGTTGGTCCCTTACCTTTCCCGCCCCAACCTGGCCACAGTGACCCATGCAACGGTCACCTCCAGGCTTGACTACTGTAATTCGCTCTACACGGGGCTGCCCTTGAAGCTGTCCCAGAAACTCCAGCGGATGCAGAATGCTGCAGCGAGGCTCCTCACGGGGTCTCAGCCATGGGAGCATATTCACCCAGTGCTTTTCCAGCTGCACTGGCTCCCAGTGAAGTACAGGGTCAGATTTAAGGTGCTGCTTTTGACCTTTAAAGCCCTTCACGGCCTAGGACCCTTGTATCTACGGGACCACCTCTCCCAGTATGCCCCACGGAGAGCCTCAAGGTCCATAAATAGCAACACTCTAGAGGTCCCGGGCCCTAAGGAAGTTAGATTAGCTTCAACCAGAGCCAGGGCCTTTTCAACACTGACCCTGGCCTGGTGGAACTCTCTGCCTCATGAGACCAGGGCCCTGCAGGATCTGATTTCTTTCCGCAGGGCCTATAAGGCAGAGTTGTTCCGCCTGGTCTTTGGCTTGGAGCCAATTTGATTCCCTCCCCCTCTTTCTTTTTTCTTTTTCCTTTCTCCTGTGATGAGGCTGCATTTTAATATTTTAATGTTTCAATATTTTAATTCTTGTATTTTAATCTTGTTTTTAAGTTGTATTCATTCAACTTGTTTTTATTATTGCTTGTTAGCCGCCCTGAGCCCGGCCTTGGCTGGGGAGGGCGGGGTATAAAGAAAAATTATTATTATTATTACCTCTCATATAAATCAGAACCAGTGAAGGCAGTGAACATCCTGTGTGGGTATCTGGAGACAATTGGGCAATGGATGGCAGTCAATATAATGAGGTGGAATCCTGACAAGACAGAAGTATTGGGGGACGGAGGAGGGCCAGTGTGGGAAATGCCCTGGTCTTGAATGGGGTAACTGTGCCTCTGAAAGACCAGGTACACAATCTGAGGGTCTTTTTAGATGCACAACTGTCCATGGAGATGCAGGTCAATTTTGTATCCAGGGCAGTTGTCTACTAGTTCCATTTGGTACACCAGCTGCAACCCTATCTTCCTGTGCACTATCTTCCCAGAGTGGTACGTGTTCTGATTATTTCCCACCTGGACTTCCACAACATGCTCTATGTGGAGCTAACTTTGAAGGTGACTTGGAAACTATAACTAATCCAGAATGTGGCAGCTACACTGGTGACTGGGAGCGGCCGCTGGGACCATATAACACGGGTTCCAGAGGATCTGCACTGGCTCCCAGTACGTATCTGAGCGCAATTCAAAGTGTTGGTGTTGACCTGTAAAGCCCTAAATGGCCTCAACCCAGTATACTTGAAGGAGCATTTCCACCCCCATCGTTTAGCCTGGAAACTGGATCCAGCTCTGAGAACCTTCTCTGCGAGAACTGAGGTTACAGGGAACCAGGCAGAGGGCCTTCTCGGTAATGGCACCCTCCCTAGGAACGCTCTCCTGTCATATGTCAAGACATTTGAAGACAGTCCTGTATAGGGAAGCTTTTTAATGTTTGATTATGCTTTTATATTTCTCGGAAGCCACCCAGAGGGGCTGTGGTAACTCATTCAGATGAGTGGGGTACAAATATTACAACAACAACAACAACAACAACAACAACAACAACAGTTGTTGTTGTTGTTGCTGCTGCTGCTGCTGCTGCTGCTGCTGTTGTTGTTAAAGAAGCTTAAACAAGAGGGCAAGGTTTATTTTTATTTTCTTTAACTCAGAAGTAAATAACCCAGTTTATTTTTCCACGGGACTAGCAGCAGCTTCCAAGAGAGCCCCAGCGGAGGGCAGCAGCAGTTCAAATGGCAGGGCTGGGCAACAACTTGGGGGGGGGGGTCTGGGGAGGCGAGGCCGAAAGGGCTTCCTGCTCTTGTGAGGACCCTGGTATGGCTCGGGTGTCAGGTCTTGTGGGCAGGCAGAGACAGCCCAAAGAAAGAAGAAGAAGAAGAGTTTGGATTTGATATCCCGCTTTATCACTACCCGAAGGAGTCTCAAAGCGGCTCACATTCCTCCTTTCCCTTCCTCCCCCACAACAAACACTCTGTGAGGTGAGTGGGGCTGAGAGACTTCAGAGAAGTGTGACTGGCCCAAGGTCACCCAGCAGCTGCATGTGGAGGAGCGGAGACGCAAACCCGGTTCCCCAGATTACGAGACTACCGCTCTTAACTACTACACCACACTGGCTCTCAGAGGAAGGAAAGGGACTCCCAGCAAGAAGCTTGGAGCTGGCTCGGACTGCGTCTCCCTCAACTGCCTACCAGCCTGGCGCCTGCACTTAAACAAGAAGCTCACGAGGAAAGTTCCCAGGTGGGCTGCTTTCTTCAGCACCTGCTCTTGTGATTCGCTGCAGGAGGCAGAGGAGAGTTGAGGGGCAGCAGGAATGAGGAGAGGAGCAATGACCGAACTCACGGTTTTCCCCACATCGTGATTTTTGCATAGCACATGCACGCATTGTGATTCACAATATATCACCACATCAAATACTACGAAACCATTACCACGAGGTGGACTTCAGACTGGTTTGGGACAATATTGATATATTCCAGGTATTGCTTCCCCCCCCCCCGCAACCCCTTTCACCTTGCCCTTCGTCCCAGTGACGTGAATGATGTTCAGTTGATCCAGGTCTTCGACCTGCCGGAGAAAAAGTGAATGAACCTTTCAGTTTAGCTGTTCTGGTACTTGCCCGCCGCCCCACCTCATCAGTGCAGGCAGCAATGGCTGCTAATAGACAGCCCTCCCTCTCCCCCATCCCATCAGTAACCCCAGAAAAATCAAGACTGCATCGCATCACGGCCAGGGGCCTCCCACAATCTTCCCAACCTCCTCACCTTCAATCCACTTCGTTCCAAAAAACCTTTCATGGCTTCCAGCTGTGCCTGGGGGTCTCCTCGCTCCCGTTTCACTTGTTCCAGGTAGCTGGCGTTTGTCTGGAGCGTATTCAGAGTCCGAATGGCATCCTAGAAGGCATACGAGGCTGTGGTTAATTGCTTCCCCACTTTTGGTCAGCCTTGTAAATAACCACACAGCAGTTACTAGCCTGCAAAGACAGTTGCCTGGCTGGCTGAGGAGGAAGGGGAAGCACTACTCCTTCTTCCATGGGAACAGAGGGAACTGACTTGTACAGAGACCACAGGGTTCATTTACCTTAGAGTTGTCTACACCAGTGTTCCCCAACCTTGGGCCTCCAGCTGTTTTTGGACTACAACTCCCATCATCCCTCGCTAGCAAGACCAGTGGTCAAGGGTGATGGGAATTGTAGTCCAAAAACAGCTGGAGGCCCAAGGTTGGGGGACACTGGTCTACACTGCCTGGCAGATGCTCTCCAGGGTGTTCCCAGCCCAACCTAATGATCCCAAGTACTGAACCTGGGAACCTACTACAAGCAAAGCACATGCTCTACCCACTGAGCTATAGCCCACCAGCTTTCTATGCTGGGCATAGAAGGGAATCAGAGCACCCCATCTTTCCTCAACCAACCCACTCACTCGCCTGCACACAATTCCTTGTTGGCTATTGCAACCAGGCTGGTGCCTGAACACAAGACCTGTTTTTCAGCCTTCTGTTATGGAAAACAAGAAATCAACCACTCCAGGTCAATGCTAACAATCTCCTCTCTGCCCCGTTCAAAAAATAAACCTGGAATTGTGATGCCCCTGTCCGCGGTTCCAGATTCTCACTGCGCGCTCCAGTGGCTGCAAGAAGGCAGGGGACAGGAGCACAGGAACCTCTTTTCTTAACGCCTGCTTTCCAGCTGGTCCTCTGCCTTTTCATGTCTGAATTCTGCCACAGGCGGCAGGTCCGCTGGAGAATCCGCACCCTATCCCTCTTGGGAGAGGAATCTGCCTTCCTTGCTCCTCTGAACGCACCAGTAGTTCCATGCACGTGGTCAGTGTTTACCCCCCCCCCACCCCAACAAACAAGATAATGACCTTCCTGTAGTTTATGACACACGTGCCTCTTCCTCAACAGCTCAATCACATGTCTAGGGGCGTAAAGTACTAGTTAACTGAAAGCACATTTTAAAAAACCCAGAAACAGAAAAAGCACAGGCTCTTCCTGCATCCACCAAGCAAACTGTAAGGGCAGTGAGGGAAGCTGGCACATTGTCAACATGGCCATCAATGAACTCAGGCCACAGAGCAGTCAAAGAGCAAGGAGCTGGGGACTCAGCAAAAAGATACGAACCCAGTGGCTATTAGCAAAGCTGCTGATGTGAACAAAATGAAGGCACGTTTTAAAAGGCAGCTACCATATTTTTTGCACCATAACACTCACTTTTTTCCTCCTAGAAAGTAAGGGGAAATGTCTGTGCGTGTTATGGAGGGAATGCCTATGGGTGGCGGGGGGGGGGGTCTGCTGCAGTCGTGAGCAGAGGATCCATGGTTCCCCTTCCTTCCCTCCTCCGTGGCTCACTTTGAAACAGCAAAGCGGGAGAAGAGCCGCTGAGTGGGGAGGAGAGAGAGACAGAGAGCCTGCTTGCTTTAAAGGAGCAAAGTGGGAGAGGAGAGGAGCCGCTTACACGAGTGTAAGCGGCTCCTGTCTGGTTGGCTCCTTTAAAGCAAGCAGGCTCTCTGTCCCTCTCTCCTTCCCACTCAGCTCGCTAAATAGCAGCAAAGTTTTTCAGCTCGCTAAGCCGGGGATGAGCGGGGAGGAGGGAGAAAAGCAGAGCCTGCTTGCTTTAAAGGAGCAAAGTGGGAGAGGAGAGGAGCCTTCTCCCCTTATACCCCTCTTCTTCATTATTAGCAGCATCCTTCTCCACCCACCCCACGCATGCTTCTTCTCCCCTTAAACCTCACTTCTGCATTATTAGCAGCATCCTTCTCCTTGTTCCTTGAGTGTTTTTCCTTCCCTCCCCACTTAAAACGTGGTTACAAAGCGCGGGTCCACATAGATCCTCAGGATTTTTGCACTGGGTCACCCCAAATTCACATCAGATCACATAACATGTCCATGGCTACATCTTGCACCCAAAAAATCACGCACCCACTGTTGCCTGGGGCAGATCACATGTCAGTGGCCACAGCATGAACCACAAAAATCATACATCCACTGTTTCGTTTAGAATATTTTTTTTCTTGTTTTCCTCCTCTAAAAACTATGTGCGTGTTATGGTCGGGTGCATGTTATAGAGCGAAAAATACGGTAAGTACAGTATTTTTCGCCCTATAGGACGCACTTTTTCCCCTCCAAAAATGAAGGGGAAATCTGGGTGCGTCCTATGGGGCGAATGCAGGCTTTCGCTGAAGCTTGGAGAGCGAGAGGGGTCGGTGCGCACCGACCCCTCTCGCTCTCCAGGCTTCAGGAAGACATCCGCAGCCTAGGCAGCCCGGCGGGAGGTCCCGCCGGGCTGTCTAGGCTGCGGATAGCAGCCTGCCGCCCGCCGAACAGACATCCGCAGCGTGGGGAGCCCTGCAGGAGTTCCCCGCAGGGCTCCCCACGCTGCGGATAGCAGCCTGCCGCCCGGCGGGTGAGACGCCCTCAAGCAGAGCGCCCCGCCCACCGGGCATACATCCGCAGCGTGGGGAGCCCTGCAGGAGTTCCCTGCAGGTCTCCCCACGCTGCGGATAGCAGCCTGCCACCCGGTGGGCGGGGCGCCCTGAAGCAGGGCGCCCCTCGCGCCGGGCAGACATCGGCCAGCCCCACAAGCTCGGGGGACAGTAGGGAGGCGCAGCGGCGCCATCCCGCTGTTCCTCGACCTGGTTCGGTTTCCCTGACCTGCTTTTGGGGGGGAAATAAAGGAAAAAAATTTTTCCTTTATTTCCCCCCCAAAAAAACTAGGTGCGTCCTATGGGACGGAGCGTCCTATGGGACAAAAAATACGGTAATCTTATGACTGGGAGGAGGAAGAAGAAACCAAGAGCATAGCTGTCAACTTTCCCCTTTTCTTGCAAGGAATCCTATTCGGAATAAGGGAATTTCCCTTTGAAAAAGGGAAACGTTGACAGCTATGATCAAGAGAAGCATCAGAGAGGAGACCCTGACCGAAGACAAAACTTTTATCTTCCCTCTAAGGCACTTTGGAAGAGTTATGAAGATTTTTGCAGGATGTGTTTAATTTATTACGTATTTGTTTCATAAGATTTATACACCACTTGATTGTACCAAAAAAAACCAACAACCCTCAAAGCCATTTACAAAAAAAAGTAAAATCAAGAAAAAAACACAGCCAAACCTTAAAAAGTATACAGGAGTTAAAATACTAAAACAGATTAAAATTACTTCTACTTTCTAAGCATCCGGGTAGGATTGGCAAGCACGAAAAAGAGTACAGTGAAGGCTCCTGCTTGAATTCAATAGGCCAGGAGTTCCATAGTGTTGGCATTGCCACACTAAGCGATTGCAAGACGGGTGTTGTTTGGCACCTGTATCCGCACCAATTCACTGTACAAAGCGAGTGGGCACAGGTGGGGTAAGGAAATCTCATGACTAAACAGGTCCAAGCTGTTTTGCTACCCAAGTTTTTCTTCTGTTTTACAGGGCACGATTTGCAGATTTCTGTATGCTTTTAATTGTAATACAGTGGTACCTCAGGTTAAGTACTTAATTCGTTCTGGAGGTCTGTTCTTAACCTGAAACTGTTCTTAACCTGAAGCACCACATTAGCTAATGGGGCCTCCTGCTGCCGCCACACGATTTCTGTTCTCATCCTGAAGCAAAGTTCTTAACTCGAGGTAATATTTCTGGGTTAGTGGAGTCTGTAACCTGAAGCGTATGTAACCTGAAGCCTATGTAACCCGAGGTACCACTGTATATGGACCCCCCAAAAAAACACATACTTTTATGCTATGCTTTATGCTTTTTTAAGTTTTGTAAATTGCCTGGAGACACTTTACCTGGCTATCAGCTAACAGGCTGAACATTTAATAAACATTACCTTAGAAGGCTTTTGTAAGGATTATCATTGGGAGGTAGCTACATGTTATTATATGATATGTATTACAGTGGTGCCCCGCAAGACGAAATTAATTCGTTCCGCAATTTTTGTCGTCTAGCGAATTTTTCGTCTTGCGAAGCACGGTTTCCCATAGGAATGCATTGAAAATCAATTAATGCGTTCCTAGGGAAACCGCTTGCCAGGCTGGCGGTGCGGAGAAGGGCTTTTCTCCCCACCGCAAGCCTTCAGCACAGGTACGGGAACAGAGGGGAAGGCGCGCAGCGCTTTCCCTCTGTTCCCGGGGCTTGCGTGGGAGGAGGGTTTTTCCTCCCCACCGCCAACATTCAGAACAGCATTCTGAATGTTGGCGGTGGGAAGGAAAACCCTTCTCCCACCCCAAGTCTTCAGGACAGCCATCCGAAGGCTGGCGCGGGGAGAAGGTCTCTCCGCCCCCCCCCACGCCAGGCTTCGGTGCATCCTTCAGAGGCTGCTGCCATAGTCACGCGTCACTTCTCCAGCTGGGAGAGGGTCGCGGGGCTATGGTTTCTTTAGCCCCGCGCGCGCTCTCCCGGCTGGAGAGGTGACGGGCGCCTATGGAGGTTCCTGCCATATGCGCGCGTCACAACTCCAGCTGGGAGAGGGTCGCGGGGGGCTGGTTTAGCCCCGCGCGCGCTCTCCTGGCTGGAGAGGTGACGGGCGCCTATGGAGGCTCCTGCCATAGGCGCGCGTCACTTCTCCAGCTGGGAGAGGGTCGCGGGGGGCTGGTTTAGCCCCGCGCGCGCTCTCCCGGCTGGAGAGGTGACTGGCGCCTATGGAGGCTCCTGCCATAGGCGCGCGTCACTTCTCCAGCTGGGAGAGGGTCGCGGGGGGCTGGTTTAGCCCCGCGCGCGCTCTCCTGGCTGGAGAGGTGACGGGCGCCTATGGAGGTTCCTATGGAGCTGTTCCTGGAACAGCTTTCCGAAGTGGGGCGGCTGGGGCAGATGTCCCCGCCCCCCCTCCCCGCTTCGGAACAGCTTTCCGAAGTGGGGCGGCTGGGGCAGGTGACCCCGCCCCCCCGCCCCACTTCGGAACAGCTGCAAAAGA